GAACCCCCCCATCATTGTCTATTTTAAACACCCTATATACCCCATCCCATCATATTTCATTGTTAAATTCCCACCACTTCCTTTTTCCTTTAATAAAGAAATTAATTGGCACCCCACTTGTGTGGTAATTGCTCCCCAAGATCCCATATACCTGCTGGCAGGGACAGTAAGAAACAGGTGTGAGAGTGGCCATAGAGTTTTAAATTCTATCCTCAGTAGTCAAATTGTCCATAAAAAGAGACAATGTTTAGTAGACCTGACTTACATCGGTACCAATCTGTGTTTTGCGGGCGGGATCTTGGCCGTCATGTCCGACCATAATCCTATGGATGCGGAATTGTTAGTGGGGACGAGAAAGTTGCATGAGAAACTGGGGTGGTCAGATAAAAAAACGGTTCTTCTCAGTGACATAGCAATGTTTGAACAGCTTTTAGGAGTCAACATACAGGTGGTGCTTTATGCGGCAAAAGGCAGATGGGGCTTTTTTAATATGGGGGGGCCGGTGTACCCCAAGACTTTTTTCATCCTGTTGCATGATGAGTATTACTATGGGGTTCTGGATGTGAAAAAGTTGTTCAGTGTGAAAAATTATTGTGAGTTTTGCCACACGGTGTACAGTCACAACCACTCTTGCAGATATCATTGCCGCCTCTGCTTCAGTGTAATGTGCTTGGACAGCATGGGCGTGCAGCTGAGGTGTCCTCGCTGTAGACTGTATTGTCGGTCCAAAGAGTGTTAAGACAGACAAGTCGACTGTGCATTGAAAAAAACAGTTGAACGCCTATCTAAAACTTTGTGTGATAAGTGTCAGTCTTACATGGACAAGCAGCACAGGTGTAAAGGAAGGCATTGTAAGCAGTGTCAGGGATTGATCACTGGTGATGTAAACAGCCACCTGTGTTTTATGGACAGCATTAGAAAGCCCGAATCATTGGAAAGTATATTTTTTTATGATTTTGAATGCACACAGGTGTGGAAGTTGGGAAAAGCGCAGACATCTTAGTCTTCCAGGAAGAGCAGAGTCAGGCTAACTCTTCTATTTGAAGGCCTAGGCGAGTGGGAACCGACTGTAAGAGATACTGTTTTGATCTTGTGCTAGATAAGAATGGAATGTAGACTGTGGCAAAAAATAATGAGAAAAAGTAAGATATCAGTAAGGAATATGTATAAACAAAATGCAGCTGTTGATCATTACTGTATGTAATAAAAGCTATAAAAGCTTGCCATAATTGTTTATCTAACGACGACCTGCCCATGTGTACTCTCCCCTTCCAAGTGTCAGGAAAATAAAGCTGCCTCTGGCTTGTTACTTCAAACTCAGAGTGAGGACTCGTTTTCTCCCACAATTTGGTGCCGTGACTTGGATGGCAAACGTCCGACTGAGACAGTGACAAACTAATACGGACTATTCCCCTGCGAACCCCATGGCGCCATAATACAGGTAAAAGACCTTTTGAAATCTCTATTGGGGTGTTGCAGGAGGACTGCCCTTTGGGGCTCACACCATCCGAACTTATTGTTTTGCAATAAGATCAGATGCAGAGCGGTTCTGAGAAATTTGTTGCCGCCCTCAAGTAAGGTTAGTCATTCTGGTTCTGAGGAATAGTTTATTTCTGCCCACAAGTAGGTTGGTGATTGTGATTCTGAGGTCCTCAATAAAGTTAATGCACTGGTGCTGAGGGGTTTTTACCACCTCAAAATAAGGAAATGTTGCATTGAGTCCGGACATTGTTATTAAGGTTATTGTTAAATGAGATGTATCAAGATATGGGGAATTAATGTGTGTGTGTGTGTGTGTGTGAATGAACGGAAAAAAAAAGAGGGAGGGGGATATAAGCCGCTGACCAGGTTTAAGACTAAGCTGATTCCAGCCACCCCAGGGCTACCCCATGTGGCAGTTCTAAAAGCAAGGGGGGTCAGCCGAACCTTGTGACCCGGCGGATAGGAATATTCATGAGCTGCTGACCAGGTCCAGACTTAAGCCGCTAGTCAGTGAAACCCGTGGCCCAGTGGACTCTTCCCCGGGGATACAAAAGAGTGAGAATTTTCTCTAGTTTATGAGCCGCTGACCTAGTGGACAGGGTGCCCTCCCTGTGTGTGCGTGTGTGTGTGCGTGTGTGTGTGTGTGTGTGTGTGTGT